GAGGATGGCGGACATGCAGGTGACAGGAAGGGCAAGGACGGGCTTTATGTGAACAATCCTTTAGAACTTTGTCCTACAGTTAAAGGGCAGCAGTGGCAGGGCTCTCCAGAGTGTCCTAACCAGAGCTGTATGTGGACAGTGACTTGGGACAAAGGGACCAGAAGCAGAGAGACCACAGCCAAGTGTCCTTGTAGCTGGGGAACAGAGAACAGAATGTGGATGTGGACAGTACGGCTGTTTCCTAAGAGGCCCCCCCCCCCCCCCCAGTGCTGTAAGGCTGGCCAGGCACCTGTGGTTCAGATCCAAACCTTTGAGGGCGGAGCTTGGAAGTTAAGGAGTTTGTCACCTGACACAGAAGGCGGAGGCAGGCCTTGGACCCAGCCCTAGGAAAGTAACTAGAGTCACCAGAACTCTTGGCAAAGACCTTCGGACTGAGACTCATAGTCCTGGATCCCAGTTCCTTCAGAGAACTCTCCTGGGACCAGAGAAGCACCCCTCTACCCACTTACAGGCCAGGCAGTCTCAGAAAACCAGCAGGGGCCACTGTCACCTGGAGCAAGCCAAGAGCTGGGTTGAGCAGTGGAGGACCAGTCCCAGAAAAGGACACTCGTGGTGAAAATGTCCTGAGGTCACACCTAGAATATCCATCTTCCCACTCAACTTTTTCATCAGACCAGGAGAAGCTGACTTTAAAAAAAAAAAGTATTTAAAAAAATTATGAGTACGAGTGATTTGCCTGCATGTATGGCTCTGTACCATGTGTGTGCCTGGTGCCCACAGGGGCAGACAAGCATCAGATCCCCTGAGACTGGAGTGACAGATGGTTGTGAGTTGAGATGTGGGTGCTGGGAACTGAACCTGGATCCTGTTCAAGACCAGCTGGTGCTCCCAACACTGAAACATCTCTCCGGTCCCTATCTGCCCCTCCTGTTTTTTGAAACAGGGTCTCACTGTGTAGCTCTAACCGGACTAGAACTCACAGAGATCTGCCTGCTCTGTCTCCCAAATCCTGATACTAAAGCCATGCACACCACGCCTGAAGGAAGCTGGTTTTCTGGTTAGGAACAAATGCTTGAGCAGATGGGCTGCACCTGTCCTGATACTGCCATGCTTTTCCTATGATGTAGCCCTGGCTGTCCTGAAAACTCACTCTGTAGACCAGGCTGGCCTCAAACTCTCAGAGATCCCCTGGCTCTGTCTCCCAAGTGCTGGGACTACAGGTGTGTGCCACCAAGGCCAGTCAGACAGTCCTGCTTTTTGAAGAAGACTTTGTATGTTGAAAGCCCAGATTTGTCTGCTGTTGTGGAGATTTCAGGGTGGGGAGGACGCCTCAGTGGGTGAAGCGCTGACTGGGGCTCCCCAGCGACTGTGATAAAGCTGGGCAGGGTAGTGCTTGCTTGTAATCCCAGCACTGAGAGCACAGAGGGCTAGATTCCAGGTCAGCCAGCCGGTCTAGGCGAGTGGTGAGCTCCAGGTTCAGTGAGAGATCCTGTCTTGAAAAGCAATGTGGTGGCGCACGCCTTTAATCCCAGCACTCAGGAGGCAGAGGCAGGTGGATCTCTGTGAGTTTGAGGCCAGCCTGGTCTACAGAAAAGTTCCAGGCCAGGCTCCAAAGCTACAGAGAAACGCTGCCTCGAGAAAACAGCAACAACAACAACAAACAAACAAAAAAAGAAAAAGAAAAGTGGAGAGTGACAAGGAAAACACCTGAAGTCAATCTCTGGCCTACACGTACATACACACCTGCACACACACACACACACACACACACACACACACACACACCTGTACACACACACCTGCACATACACACCTGTACACAATGCACATACAACACCCGAAGTCAATCTCTGGAGTCAATCTCTGGCCTACACATACATACAAGCCTATATACATACCTGCTCATACACACCTGCACATACATACCTGTACACACACCTGCACATACAACACCTGAAGTCAATCTCTGGCCTGCATGTACATACACACATGTACACACATCTGCACATACAGACACATGACATACACACACCTGCTCATACAGACACACAAGCCTGAAAATACACACACACACACACACACACACACATATACATGACACACACCTGCTCATATAGACACACAAGCCTGGAGACACACACACATACACATATATGCATATACATACATACACACAGAGTAGAGCCAGAGCCAGAGAGAGACCGGTTTAACTGAGTATCTCAGAAGGAGCAATGCTGCTCATTTAAGGAAAAGAATACTGACTTTTATGGTTCTTTTTTTCAACTTTTTGTTCTGCTTATGGGTTTGAGTTTTTGCTTTCTGTGTGTTGTTGTGTATGATGTGTGTAGGTACAGGCACATACATGTCATAGAATGTACATGGAAGTCAGAGGAAAGCTTTAGGGAGCTGGTTCTCTCCTTCCACCATGTGGGTTCCAGGAGTCAAACTCAGGTCATCAAGCTTGGTGGCAGGTGCCTGCGTCTGCATCACCTAGCCTTGTTCTGTGTTTGTTTGGTCTAAGTTTTAAGTTTTAAACAGTTTTGTCAATAAATAATAGAAGAAACAAGTTATTTTTCTGGAAAAAAAGTTTAAGGCAACTAAAAATGATAGGAAAACTTTGTAGTATTTTACCTGTCCTTGCCCCCCACCTCCCCACCCCTCCAACCGGGATTAGGGTTGGTTGTTACAATTCGGCTCTTAAATGTTCCTTGTCCTTGCCCCGCCCCCTCTGGGGTTAGTGGTCCGTCGTTGCAGTTTGGATCTTAAATGTTTCCTAGGATCATGTGTTGGGCCTGGTTTTGTTTTTTGAGACAGGGTGTCACCATGTAGCCCAGGCTACCCTGGAACTCATCCTACCTCAGTCACTGGAGTGCTAGGCTGCCAGCCTGTGGCACTATCACAGGCGGTAAAACAATGAGGAGGTGAGACTTAGTGGAAGGAAGTTAGATCACTGAGGCCACACCTTTCAAAGGGACCCTGGGAAGCCAGTCTGTCTTTTTGCTTCCTTCCTGTCAAACAGCAGCGTTTTTACCTCATCACAGGCACCTCTGATGTTTTCCCTGCCACAGGCCCAAAGGGATGGGGCCAAATGGCCAAGGTCTGAAACTTCTAAAACCCTTTGTGAGTTTTTACGTCAAGGATTTTGCTACAGCCACAGAAAATCAGCTCCATAGGGGTGGTGGTGAGGAGCCAAATCATTGGCTCCTAGGGAGGGGAAGCCAACCTTGTTCATGTTTCAATATGTCTAGGAACCCATGCAAGGGACTGATGCCAAGCACGCATCTGTCGTGCGAGAGAATTGTCTGTAATCTGTCAATCACGTGAAGTCTCAGGAGGGAAAACGCTCAAGTCAAAGGCAGTTTTCTAAGACACAATGGGGCAAATTAATGCCCCATTCCTGTCTGCAGTAAAGGCTACAGGTGAGGCAAACAATAGCTCACAATCTGGCAGGAAGACCTGGGAGGGATTTTTTGTGGCAAACTGAAGCACTCCCTCAAATATCAAGGAATTTAGAAAGTCAGGTACATGCGCAGCGAGGTGCCTGTGAGAATCGGCGTGAGAAGACCCTAAGCTTTACCTCAGCAGGTTGTTGAGGTGAGGAGTGAAGGCTGAATTGTAAGCAGCTTGGTCGCTGTTGAGGACAGACTTCAATACAGAGTGAGGAGCCGCGCTGCCTCTCTGGACAGAGGTCACCGGTGGGAACGTAGACCATATCTTCCAAAATTTGAAACAGATTTTGAGTCAGACATAGTATGCATGCCATAATCCCAGCATTGAAGAACACAAGGCAAAAGAATCAATGTGAAGACAGCCTTGGACTCCATACTAAGACTATCTCAGGGCAGACTTGGTGGAGCATACTTTTAATGCTAGCACTCAGGAGGCAAAGGCAGGAGGACTCTCTGTGAGTTGGAAGCCAGCCTGGTCTGCAGATTGAGTTCCAGGATAGCCAGGACTACACAGAGAGACCCTGTCTCAAAATAAACAAACAACCCACAGAAAGAAAACCTCTATCTTGAAAACACAAACAGTAAAATAATAAAGCAGCCAGATGTGCCGGCTATAGTGCAAACCTATGATTCCAGCACTCCAGAGGTAGTAGCAGGAGGTTCACAAGATCAAGCCCATCCTGGACTACAGTAGCGAGATACTCTTTAAAATAATAATAATAGGGCTGGAAAGATGGCTCAGAGGTTAAGATCACTGACTGCTCTTCCAAAGGTCCTGAGTTCAATTCCCATCAACCACATGGGGTGGCTCACAACCATCTGTAATGAGATCTGATGCCCTCTTCTTGCCTGCAGGTGTACATGCAGGCAGAATACTGTATACATAATAAATAATAAAGAAGATATTTAAAATAATAATAATAAAATAAAACAGGGGTTACCTGTCGAGTGGAGCGGCACCCAGTGCCCACCCTAGCACATGCTCACTTCACCTCCCTCCACTGTAGCCCCTTCTCAGCCTTTCCTCTGTGAACACTATTTATTCTGAAGCTCTATTTTAATAGTATTTCTTTTGCAGAGTTTATTATTCTAAAAGCTCCGTTTGTGAAGAAAAAAAGTTAAAAACAGAAGCAGACAGATCTCTGAGTTGGAAGCCAGCCTGGTCTACAGAGCGAGTTCCAGGACAGGCAGAGCTACACGGAGAAACCCTGTCTCCAGAAACAAAATGAAATCCTCACAGGGCACAAAGTCTCATTTCTGAGCGCTGTGTCTACAAAACCTGTGCTGAGAGGTTCTGAACTTTTCTTCGAAGCCTGTCTCCAGTGAAAAGTGCAGAACCTGCATGTGCAGGCCCTGCCCCAGCGCCCAGCACAGCCTTGGCAGAGAGCTGGCACTCCCGAGTGACAGTATCTATCACTCTGTGAAACATAGGTCTCCCGAATATTTGGGCCCCTACAGTCTGTGGAAGACCCCACCCACCCCAGCCAACGCTGTCACTCCAGTGCTCCTTACCAAGACGCACAGTGTTCTGCCCTAAGGATGTCTCCTGACTTGGTTTTTAAAAAGTCGAGTATTTATTAAGTATAATTGCTGAAGCAGTTGAAGTGCATGCCCTTCCCCGACACTTCTGCTAAAGATTTTATGGTTCCCTTCATCCAGAAACACTAGGTGCCTTCAGTGTACAGTGGCTGGTGTTGCACAAGTCTTCTGCTTCAGTGTGTGTGTTGGGGCAACTGTGTGTAGATAAAATGTTTCCATCCTGGGGGAAGAGAGAGGAAACAGTAGCGCGGGATTAGCAGATAACATCAAGCGAAGAGCTGCTGGGCAAAATCCGGTTACCAGGCTTAGATGGCAACCACCCCTGCGCTGTTCTTAGGAGAAAGAAAAGTGGAGCAATGTCCCATCCCATGGCACGTTCTGAAGGCTGGAATACGTACCCACCGGACACATGGTCGGTTAGTGGGCAAATACGGACACCAAGTTTCTTTATTTTGCTGCTCAAGACAGGCGGGACATGGAAAATTAAGAAGACTTTTCCTTATAAAACAGGACCGACGAGGATGGGATTCGAACCCACGCGTGCAAAGCACAATGGATTAGCAGTCCATCGCCTTAACCACTCGGCCACCTCGTCCCACACAGGACGTCTCTTTCCACATTCCCATATCTCTCATCTCACGCGCACCTCCTGCACGCTTCCATCCACGTCCTAGTACCCACCTGGAAAAGTTCAGAGGAATAAGAAACAGTAACAAAGAGGTTTTTAAAATTTCCTCTCCAAGGGCTTCAGTCGGGAACCGCGCCATCGTTGACTGAGCCGCAGCTGAACTCTGCATGGGTTCCACTTCTCGCGGCCGGGCGAACGCACTGGGGTTTTCGGACGCGCATGTTCCGAGGGTCTGCGTCCCGACCCCACCGGAGAGGTCTGCGGCCAGGGGTCCGCGGCTACACGGATGTGGTCGCAGTTAGGTTCGGCGTTTGCAAAGCGCGCGCAGAACAGCGACCGCTGCAGTAGCTCCTCCTCTCTCACAGAGGGCGAGCTGGCCCGCACCTAGATGGAGGCGAACAGGCCGAGGGCGGGGTTGAGCGCTGGGCTCGGCTGGCCTCGGCTGGCCTCGGCTGCGTTCGGCAGGCTGCGGTAAAACTAGGCTTGCGGTGGCTGGCAGAGGCTACGGCCCGGTGGTACCCGCTTCGCGCCGGGAGCCCCGAGAGCCATGCAAATGTCCTACGCCATCCGATGCGCCTTCTACCAGCTGCTGCTGGCCGCCCTCATGTTGGTGGCAATGCTGCAGCTGCTCTACCTGTCGCTGCTCTCCGGACTGCACGGGCAGGAGGAGCAGGAACAGTATTTCGAGTTCTTCCCGCCGTCCCCGCGATCCGTGGACCAGGTAAAATCTCAACTCCGCACCGCTCTGGCCTCTGGAGGCGTTCTGGATGCCAGCGGCGATTATCGCGTCTACAGGGGTCTACTGAAGACCACCGTGGACCCCAACGATGTCGTCTTAGCCACGCATGCTAGCGTGGACAACCTGCTGCACCTGTCCGGACTTCTGGAGCGCTGGGAGGGCCCACTGTCCGTATCAGTGTTCGCAGCCACCAAAGAGGAGGCACAGCTGGCCACGGTGCTGGCCTACGCGCTGAGTAGCCACTGCCCTGAGATGCGTGCCAGGGTCGCCATGCACCTCGTGTGCCCCTCACGTTATGAGGCTGCTGTGCCCGACCCCCGGGAGCCTGGGGAATTTGCCCTGCTGCGGTCCTGCCAGGAGGTCTTTGACAAGCTAGCCAGGGTGGCCCAGCCCGGGATTAATTATGCACTGGGTACCAACATCTCCTACCCCAATAACTTGTTACGGAATCTGGCTCGAGAAGAGGCCAACTATGCCCTGGTGATTGATGTGGACATGGTGCCCAGCGAGGGACTGTGGAGAGGCCTGAGGGAAATGTTGGATCAGAGTAACCACTGGGATGGCATGGCCCTGGTGGTGCCTGCGTTTGAAATCCGCCGAACCCGCCGGATGCCAATGAACAAGAATGAGCTAGTACAACTCTATCAGGTGGGCGAAGTCCGGCCTTTCTATTATGGGCTATGCACGCCTTGCCATGCGCCCACCAACTACTCCCGCTGGGTCAACCTGCCAGAAGAGAGCTTGCTGAGACCTGCCTATGTGGTGCCCTGGCGGGACCCCTGGGAACCATTTTATGTGGCTGGAGGAAAGGTGCCCACCTTTGATGAGCGCTTTCGGCAGTACGGCTTCAATCGAATCAGTCAGGTGACTAAAGGGGAGAAGGCAGGTGGGACAGGGGCTGGAGTGTGTCAAGGATGGAGTGGCCACTAATAGAAAGGAGGCCATGAAGCAAGAGGAAGGTGGTTGGATGATGTAGAATTCCCGAATGGGGTGTTGGGGGTGGAGTGAACCTTTAGGGATGACTATTTGGGCCCTGGGGACGTCTGGGGATGTCATTAAATTATTGTGACCTCTCTCTCTCTCTCTCTCTCTCTCTCTCTCTCTCTCTCTCTCTCTCTCTCCGTGTGTGTGTCCTCTCATCTCTGTCTCTTCTCTGTCTCTCTCATATCTCTGTCTCTTCTCTGTTTATGTCTCTCTCTGTCTGTCTCCCTCCTCTCTCCCCTCTCTTTTTCTCTGTCCCCCTCCTCCCCCGTCTCTCCGTCTCTCTCTTCTCTCTCCAGGCCTGTGAGCTGCACGTAGCAGGATTTAATTTTGAGGTGCTGAACGAAGGTTTTCTGGTTCATAAGGGCTTCAAAGAAGCAGTGAAGTTCCATCCCCAAAAGGAGGCTGAAAACCAGCGCAATAAGATCCTTTACCGACAGTTCAAACAGGAGTTGAAGGCTAAGTACCCCAACTCTCCCCATCGATGCTGAGTTCTTTCCTTTCATGGTCTGAGAATGTTCAGCATCTGGCTCCTCAGGCCTGACTGGGGTGAGAAATACCCCTCCACTTTACAGAGGTAGCTGTGGTTTTGGAGCACTGGACTTGACTTTGGGGTGCTGGGATCAAGTCCTAGCTTTACCACTAACTAGCTGTGTGGCCTTGAACAAAAATCTGTTACCTCTCTGAGCCTCCATTATCCCGTCTGTAAAATGGGAGGTGAAACTACCTACCTCACAGAACTGTTGGCTCAGATGAGATGCTATATGTGAAAACATCCTGTAAGCTTCGTACAAATGTGAACTATTATTAATATTATTACAGTGTTACTATTGTTATTATTATATTGTTATTATTAACAATGTTGGGTGGATAGCAGCAGGGCAAAATGTATGACTGAAATAAATCTGAGAATCCTGAGTACTTAATAAAACGAGCTTTTTGGAAAGAAAGATGAAAACATGGAATGCAGTGCTCTGACTGGGGTAGAACGTAAGCTTCCTGGTTCTCCCTTTGCCCTTCGAGCTCCCTGAAGGAGGGGAGGGTCTGTAGGCCCCGGGGTGGGGGTGGGGGGTAAAGTATCAGCTCTGGGCCCTCCAGTAGGTTGTCTTCGTGTGACAGTGTGTAGATAAACGAGCGTTCAGACCCACAGCTGGCTCGGTTACTCTCCTGAGCTCAGGGGTTGCGGGCAGGAGCATCGTGTTATCGGCGGTGGACCCTAGGCCACAGATCACGATGCTCGGGCAAGTTGGAGGCCTGGGAGACAGTGGGCCAGTTGCTATGGAGACCCGCCCGCGGTATCCCGGCATGCCTGAACACCAGTGGCTCAATAGTAAGCTCCGCCACGGGCGCCTTCTGATGACGCACACGGAAGCGTCGGCACCTCTTGGAGAAAGGGAAACCTGAGCAGCTCTGTCCCTGAAGCCGGCGGCGGCGGCGTTTCCACCCGGTCAGACAGCTCTCGGGGAGTCTCGGACGTGAGGCCCGAGACCCCAGCCCCTACGGTGCGTATGGTCATGCCTGGCGCTAGGTTCGGCTTCCCGGGTCGGAACCAAAGCGGAGACTTAACCGGTCCGGCTCGCGCGGTGGCCTTAGGGGAGCCCGCGGTTCCCTGGCCAGCGCCGGTGAAAGTGAGGGTGGATCGCGGCTGGATGCTCCTGGAACGCCGCAGAGAAGCTGTATTTATTCTCTGTGTCTGTAGGGAGGAGTCTGCCCTTCCTGAAGGCTTGCTCTGGAGGTACTTAGACGTCTATAGAGAGACATTGCATATGCACCGCGCTCTTTGTAGTGTGCCTCTTCCACTTCTTACGACCTTCAGCAGTGGTATATCCGCCCTGTTTGTACCTGGGTTAAGGAGAGACGGTTATGACTTCATTCAACGAAGTCAGAATCACAGTCAGCTGGAGGAAGGATATCTTTAAGACTTCACGCTGCATCTAAGAAAGGACACACACTTAACAGTAAAAGGGGATTGGCAGCGCGGGAATCTGAGACTAGAGAAGGGGACCGGTCAGGCTGTTTTGGAGACCTGTGTTTTCAGAGCAGGAGGAAATGCTACTAAACTCTTCTACAGGTCCATCACTATAATTAGTTGAGTGGGTAGCCACCGCTGTAAGTAGGGTTACCATGAAAAAAAGAAGTAAAAGCCAATTCCTGCACTGCAAAAGTTTTTTGTTGTTGTTGTTATTTAATTTGTGTTTAGAGATCTCCGGTCCTCAGGTGAGTTGGGATTGTCCTGGGTGAGTAAGATAGTTGTGCAGCTCCTGCCCTGGTGAGGTGTACACATTCGCCAGATGGATGGACATGAAAATGGGAGACTAGGAAATGGAGAGCCAGAAAGCCCGGGAGGAGGGAGTGTGGTCCACCCACCGGGAAGACTCAGAGCAGCAGCTGGAGATGTAGCAATACCATCCGCATGGAATAGAAGCCCCCTCTTGGCAGAGAGCAGCCGCCTCCAGGGTGGCTTATCTCCCAGGTGGTCTGGCAGCATCAATCTCTCACATCTCCTTCATTCTGGAAATCTCTTCAGCTCCCTGACTTTGAGCTTTTCCGCTCTATTTCTGCAGCGGTTTCTCCTGTCCCTCTTTTGTTTGTTGACCTTAGGCCTTCCATCACAGACCCCTTCTCACGTGTCTGCCTGACTAGTCTCTGCACAACTCGCCCAGTAGATAACCAGTTCCTGAAGCCTGGGTCTAGTGGGAGTACATGCCCATGTCCCTGGTCCCTTTTCTCATTTCTAGGTCTTTGTACTTGTTCTTCCCTCTTGTCTGCCTAGCCCCCACCTAGTCTCTCTTCCTCTGGAAGCTGTCACTGCTGCGGCAAGCTCCAGATCCTGTCTAGACACCTCTCCCATAACACTCTCATTTTGACTCTCTTCACACCATTACAGAGGTCTGTTTCTTCACCTTCTCTCCCAGGAACTTGTCATTTCCTTGAGGCAAAGACTGTGTCTGTCACAGCTATCTTCTAGCATCTACCACAGTGACTGTTCGGTACCTGGCATGTATTAGGTGCTTAGTAAATATAAGCGGGGGGGGGGAGGACTTACCAGTGTTTAATATTAATGAAAGGCCACCTAAGGCAAGCACTAAAAAATGCTGGCAGTTGCTGCAAGGAAGTTGCTGTATAATTCTTCCAAAGTAGTTTCAGTGTGAGTGCTGGGTACCCAAACAGCAGAAGAGTAGGAGGTGGAAGTCAGAAGAGCAAGTATGTATGAAGCCTGGAGAACTAGAAGTTGATATGATGGGCCAAGTTTCATACGCATTCATTCGTTTACCACCTTACTTTCGGGACTTTTGACATCGCCTCACCAGCTGTTGCCAGCTTGAAGCTCACTCTGTATACCAGGCTGGGCTTGGATGTGTAGCAATCCTGCCTCTGCCTCCCGAGTATTAAGATAACAGGCCTGTACCACCAATCTGGCTCTATTTTTTTGTTTTTCCACAAGGCAGAGGAGCTAGTCCAGATGTCTCTGTAAGCAGAGGCTCTATCACTGAACTCCACCCCCAGACACTGCTTTTGTTTTTGTTTTTTATTTTAATAAAAATAATAATAAAATTATTATTTTATGTTTATTGGTGTGAGAGTCAAATGCCCTGGAACTGGAGTTACAGACAGTTGTGAACTGCCATGTGAGTGCTGGGAACTGAACTCA